GGGGGGGGGGGTGGAACTTTATGTGCACAACTAGCCAGAAAATATATCTCTTACTTATTTTAAGTAGGGCATTTGAAGTTTGCAAAACAAGAGAAGCTAACTGTCGAAATAAAAATGTGGCACTTACCTTAAAAGTTGAAATTCTCTCTATGTTCATACATTCTGGTCCTGGGTTCCTCTGCCGCATTTTGTAAAAGATGAGATGTTCTTCTCAGAAGGGAGTGTGTTAATGATGTTGCTATTTTGAGAATAAGGTGGTGAGGCCTGTCTGACCCCAGGGAAGTCTTTGGATTATCACATTGAAGAATGTCTCTGACGGCATCAGAATGCACTTGTGAAAGAATGGGTAAGTCTGCACATATTCCTCCTGTAAGTATAGCAAACCTGTGCATAACAATGCACAAAAATTAGATGCTCATGTGATCACCAGTTTGCAGACTGCTGCCTAAGCAACTTTTGATACAGGTTGACCCCTGCCCTTTTCAACTTGGGCAAAGTCTTCTAGCCAAAATGCATCTGAGGTAGAGGAGGCTGTGGATGAGGAAGAGCTTTGGTTGTCTCGCTTCACCATTGTCCAGTATGGAGAAGGGGGCCTCACTTCTCTCTTGGGATCTTTGTGAATCACCACATCAGCATTAATGCCTTTTCCTACACTAATAGTACGGTTCTTCTTTTTGTAGCCATGCCATTCTCTGGAAATAGACATTGGTCTCCTTGCAGAGTGATGCCCACTGGACCTTGAATATTTATAATACTTAAGTTTTTTATCTGAAACTACATCTTCACTGTCATCACTGCTTGCCAAAGGGTCTTTTGCCTGCTCAGTTTTCTTTGTTGTGCTGAAATGGAAAAAAAAAAAAAAAAAAAAAAAAAGTGAAAGACCTGTATTCTTCATGTCTGCATATTCATTGTCCCCTAACAAGATGTCTTGTAACCTGCTTTGGTTCATCAAAGAAAGGATATAATTTAGCTTTAGCACTTTCTGTGTTATTGAAGATTTTCTCTCCAAAACTGTCTTTAAATTTGTTTCCGCTCCTAAATGTAAATCAGATTCTGCCTTAAGTTATTTCACATCACTTTCAAAAGTTTGAAAATAACTTAAGTCAGACTACTGACCAGAATATTAGCAGGTTTTAAGGTGTGGGTTAATTTCATTCCAGAATGACAGGTCAACCTGGCCATCTCCTCCACAGAACTCTTCTCATGGGTCACATGGGGTCAGTAATAACAGTGTCTTACCGATTTCCAAGGTATTCAGGAACTAGTGGACCTCTAAGTACACTAGTCATCGGGAAATTTTTGAGCCTTCTTTTGTTCTCCTGAGAACCATCATTTGCCTCTCTTTTGGGTTTACAAATGTGTATTTATACAACACCCTCTACATCCAGATGTGTCTCATTCACTATTCCACTTCTCTGTTGCTGTCCAAAAGCTTTTAAAGATTTTTTTTGTTACCTGCCCCAACTATTGGCTTTCTTGAGAGGTTGTATGGAGGTTTTTAGTAGAGGAAAGCAGCTACTCATATACCCTTGACTGGAGAACCGGTCGTCTTCAATTGAGCATGTGGCTTTTCAGAAGGGATGCATGTGGAGGGGTGAGGGAGGAAGGGGACACCTGGTGATCAATGGAGTGACAGATGTTGCAGCCAGATCACCCTCACATCCCCGACTATTAGCTTTCTTGGTTGTTGAAACTTGCCCAATGCTTGCCTGCTATCATCTACAGTTCTCTTGAACTTTTCTAATGTCTGCATACCTGAGCCTGCCATTACTTTCCTGAACAAATGCTGTTACCTGCTCCCCCTCATCCTGGTGCTGTTGCCCAGCAGATCCGTTCTTAGATTTTAACATTCATTTAACAAAGATCTTTGTGATTATAGACCTTTGGTACATCTGTCCTGCTAATAGGAAATATGAAATTGTTTTCTTCCTCACCCCCCAATCTTTTAGACTTGGCTTGCATGATCACTAATATTCTTGCAGGTGTGACCGTTGTACTTGCTCCCAAAACTTCGAACAGCAGTAACTGAGCCACTAGTCTTAGTGTGTGATTTTCCTTCATCCTTGATTTAGTGCTGTGCAAGGAGGTTCAGAAGACCTCAGGACTAGAACAGGTTGCCTTCAGACATGCCTAGGACTTCCTGAACAGCATGTGAATGAAAACAAAATCCAGGTTACTTTTTTTTTTTTTTTTTTTCCAGACTGCAAAGAATATCTTTTGTAACTCTGTATTAGGTAACTATAAAGGACAGGTAGTAGGGTCAGATTCTTATTAAACTGAAGTAAGATTATAAAGCCACAAACGAGCAGAAGTCAGAGTTAATTACAAACAGTTTTCTATCACTGGACCTGCCCAGAGCATTATGTGGAATATTCTCCAATGGGCACACAGTACCATTTACTCCTGAAAAAGATCATACCAGCTTTGTGTAAGATGCCTTTTCTTTCCCTTTGTGCTCCTTCTCTGTCCTTTCCACATAAATTACTAAAGTGCCTTAGATATAAGCACTTTGTTTCAAATTAAGAAAGGGATTTAGAAAGTGGTTGGTATTGTTCTTAAGTCCTGTGGGCTTTAGTCTCATACTTGAGTTGTGCTATTTCTGTGTTTCCTCCTTACTTTTGAATGGTCGGTCTGTCATTCTTAAATTTTAAAATTCTGTATCTCAAACTCTGAACAATTAAAATGTGAACAACATAGTCGTTCTATAAATAAGTAATTAAGAACTCAGCCTTGAGAGCTGCACTCCCCAGTACAGGGCCCACCAGCTAGGTATGGCAGCTAAATTTGAATTGATTAAACTTGAATAAAACCTAAAATTCTTCAGTTGCAAATCCTCACATTTGAGGCTCTTAATAGCCACATGTAGCCTGTGGCCACCACATCAGAACAGATCAAGAACATTTACACCACTGCAATAAGTTCTTGGATATTCTAGAGACAGATCTAGTCACACTTAGTCCTGTGACCACTGGCAAGTTTACACACACCTTTCTTGGCCTCAGTTTTCTTATGTAACCATGATAATAAAAGGAATTAACCTGAGGATTAAATGGCAAAATACTTGTAAAGCAGTGTCCACCACATAGTAAGCAATGAATAAGTGTTCACTGTTATCATTAATGATTTTTAACTGTCATGATTGGTTTGGTTATTGGGGGAAAAACTTGTCCCTAATTTGTGTCTGATCTAAGGGGACAACTGGTACCCAGCTCTGGTCCACTGTCACCATGTGAGGACAAAAGCCCATCTTCTAATTTTTTAGGAGAAACCAGAGATGCAGATAATTTCCATGGAATCTTAGATATGTAAATTTGGCAACTAATGCAAATGTTTTTTATTTAAAAATTTTGAAATATACAGAAAAATGAAAAAAAGAAACCTAGTTAAATGAAAAAACTTACAAACACTTTGGTAGCCCTTGGAAAAGCCCCTCCGTATCCTTCCTTCTCTCTACAGTCACTGCTATTCCGGCTTTTTAAAATGCTGTGGGAGGGGCGCCTGGGTGGCGCAGTCGGTTGAGCGTCCGACTTCAGCCAGGTCACGATCTCGCGGTCCGTGAGTTTGAGCCCCGCGTCGGGCTCTGGGCTGATGGCTCAGAGCCTGGAGCCTGTTTCTGATTCTGTGTCTCCCTCTCTCTCTGCCCCTCCCCCATTCATGCTCTGTCTCTCTCTGTCCCAAAAATAAATAAACATTGAAAAAAAAAATTTTTTTTTAAATGCTGTGGGAGACTAGCAAAGCACATCTGTTGGCCATATCAGTCCCTTGGACCAAAAGTTGGAATATCTGAAGTAATGTCTATCCAGTGTGGACCATTTTTTAGTCCTTAGTAAAGTTCCTAGCCAGCTTTCCCTGAGCCCATCCCAATAACCAAAGATACACAGCTGTAACAACTAGTGCTCAGAAATCTGTCAAATTAATAAGGACCACTCTTGCATCAGAGCACTGAACTTGTCACTGAAGAAGGATCTCATGTTCTACATGTCTTCATGTTCTACAGAACTTCCTCACATATCTGATCCTCAGAGGAGTCTCTGGTACTCCTGTGTTACAGATAAACAAGCTCTCAGAGGTTAAGCGATTTGCCTGAGCTTCAAAGCTGGATTTTAATTTTCATTCACTCTGAATAAATGAGCCCTCAGCCATGTGAAAGTCCTGTGGTAGATTTAGCCTAACAACACAGACTTAGTCCTTGCCTTCAGTTTACGTTCTCCCAGGGCAACATAGTAAACAATAGATTGTACAGATTACTTCATTGAAATTAGGATAAATGCTGTGAAGGAGATACACAGGTTTCTCTGAAAGCATATGACAGATGGACCAGACAGTGTTTTAACACTTCCTAACTTGAAGGCCCCTTGGAAAAATTTTGCACCATGAGCTTTCAACGGTGAGTAATGACAGAGTCCTAGGCATGTTGTACACAGAGAAGGGCAAGTGTAAAGTCCAAGGCAAAGAAACATAAGACAAAGAAGCTGAGAGGCAAAGTGGACTAGAGAGGGAAGAGGACAGCAGTATGTGGTGAGGATGCGGGATACAGACCCCAGCCACATGCAGTAGCATAGACCAGTGTAAGGGTTTGGGCATTTATCCTGAGAACAGGAGGTCTAAAAAGATTTTCAGCAGGGAACACGCCACATTCAGATTTGCACTGTAAAGGGATTGTTCTGTGTAGCAAATGAATAGGGGAAGAGAGTAGACGGTGGCTCTGACTGGGGTGATGATAGTGGCCAGAGAGAGAGATGGACAAATGTGAGAGAGAGTCGGAAGATAAAATGACAAGTTTTGTGATTATATGGGGTGGAAACAAGGGAGATGGAGAAATCTAGCATAGCCTCTAAATTTCTGACTTGTTCAACTAGGCAAATGCTCCCCCAGTAAGATAGGACCACCCCAAGGAGATAAGCAGTTAGCTGGCTCTTGATCTTTAGGCATAACGAGTGTGAGGGGTTTGTGATACATCCAAATGAAGCCACCAAGTGGGAGAGAGAAAGGGTTTAAATATACAAGTTTGAAGGTCGTACAATTTGAAAATCAGTCCTGTAGGGAGAGGGACGGAAACCACAGGCATCAGTGAGGGTGCCCAGGAAATTGAGAGAAGGAAGCCAAAGATTGAGCGCTGGGGAACTCCAAGGCTGAAGCCTGGGGAAGACGTTTCAACAGAAGAGGGGGTGGGAGTTGTACAGTGTCGAATGTTGCTCAGGAGCCACACACAGTGACGACTTGAGAAGAGTCTGCTGGAATCAACCTGAGGGCTGTGAGTGGCCCTGCAAAGAGGCCTCTTGGACAAGTGAAGACAGCAAAGCCTGGACTGAGATTGGAGGAGAGCGCCTGGGAAATCATCTGGGGAAATGGCCACATCTGATACAGCTCTTCACGCACGTTTGGAGCCAAAGGGATAGGACTGTGGCCGGGGGCAGGGAGAGGGCAGCATAGTCAAGGTGGGGTTTGTAAAGAGGCAGAGGCCCCAAAAGCCTTACATGTTATTGAGAAGGATCCACAGAAAAGCTGAATGTGCAGGAGACAAATGAGGGCGTGGGATCCACAGCACGTTTGAGGCTGACTCTGGACAAAGGGACACATTGCAGGTAGATTTGGAGGCCGAGCTCCCATTAGATGGTTCTCTCTCTTTCTCTCTCTCTCTCTTTCTTTTTTTTTTTTTTTTTTTTTTAGCTCCAGATTCAAGGCTCTCGCCTCTATCAATCTGCCTCACATTAGGTCCTGCAGATTGTACTTCTCCAAAAGGATTTAAAAACCCACTAAATTGGGGCGCCTGGGTGGCGCAGTCGGTTAAGCGTCCGACTTCAGCCAGGTCACGATCTCACGGTCCGTGGTTGAACCCCGCTTGCTGTCCGGACTCTGGGCTGATGGCTCAGAGCCTGGAGCCTGTTTCCGATGTGTCTTCCTCTCTCTCTGCCCCTCCCCCATTCATGCTCTGTCTCTCTCTGTCCCAAAAATAAATAAACGTTGAAAAACAGTCAAACTCTAAAAAAAAAAAAAAATAAATAAATAAATAAATAAATAAAAACCCACTAAATTACTGCAGCGGTTTCACCAAGACCACGTGCTTCACAGGCTCTAGGGAACAGTAGCACAACAAAGTTTTCCTAAAATGAACGACTTACCGTGTTACCGGGAATTTGGTCTCAGGGATTAAATCATGTATTTCTTGCCATTCTTGGGGTATGTCAATAAAATCTCGGTAAATCTTGATTTGTAGCACTGTTCCTATGGTGATGTGTTGCAAAAGTTTTAAAAATTCTCGAAGAGTATATCCTAACACATTGGCATGGCCAACACTAATCAGAACATCACCTGAAGAAGGAAAGAAATTATCAGTAAAATTAAGATAATGGGTCATTGGGCTCATACCACTTCTGGCTGCACTGTGAGGTATTCCATTTTACGAGTTCAACCAGACTCCAGCCTTTATTTAATAAAAGTGACCAACTAGGTGACATGAGTGTCCTTCACATAATGAATGCATGCAAGATGTTTCTTAATAGTGGTGTAGAAGATATTATATCATGTTTTTATGGTATTTCTTTAGTCCTTGGTGTGAAAGAGGCTAAAAATCGTTTATAATCTGAACCATCCTTTAGGATTCTAAAAATGTTTGTTTCGAGTAAAATGAATAGTCATTATTATTTAAAAAAACCACTTACACTAAGTGAGTAAATGACCTACTTGCTATTGTACCTGCCTGGCAATTTCCAGTGCCCTCCACTCTATTAACATAAAGCCCTTCTGGGGCGCCTGGGTGGCTCAGTCGGTTAAGTGTCCAACTTCGGCTCAGGTCATGATCTTGCAGTTCGTGAGTTCAAGCCCCGCGTCAGGCTCTGTGCTGATGGCTCAGAGCCTGGAGCCTGTTTCAGATTCTGTGTCTCCCTCTCCCTCTGACCCTCCCCCATTCATGCTCTGTCTCCCTCTGTCTCAAAAATAAATAAACGTTAAAAAAAAAAAATTTAACATAAAGCCCTTCATTTTAATTTTCTGCCTTGTGCGGTATTAGTTGAGCAAGTAATTCTGCATGAAACAATGGACATTTAGCATGCTTTAAGCTTAAGATGTGTATATAGAGAGTATGTTGGATAAAGGGATTTGAAAGCTAGACTTCCTACTTTAGGGCATTGCTGGACAGGAAGGGAAGTGTGATGGTCAGCCATAGAGCTTCTAATCTCCTGGCAAGTGGGAAGAAAACCACATCTTGACAGCAAGTCCCTGGACCCCCTAAGTGCATATCTTTGCCCACCTCCCTGCCGCCAGCACCTAGGGCATGGACATGTAAACTAGATCCAGCCACTGGGCACTCCCACCTGGGTCACTGAACCTGGGCAGGAGATGCAGCTGGGTGATGGAAGCACCCGGTTTCCAGGGGTAGTTATATATGGCCCCGCGTTCTGTCATCATTTTCCAAGCCTGGTTCTCCAGCCTTTCTGGCAGTTCTGTCAGACTCAAGGTTCTAAGTTCAGTGCCTTCACAGGCACTGTTTTCGATTGCTTGCAGTGAATCCTGACTACTGCAAGGATATTCAGCAAGAGAGGAAGGAATACAAAGAAATTACTTCTTAAGGGCTCACATTAGGTAAAATCTTAGTCTTCAGATCTTACTAGAACTAACAGCCTGCCAAATGGTAATGGAGACTTTATCACTAACACTGGATAAAGGGACTCCAATCAAGTCCCAAAGGATGTGTTCATTTCTTTGTGCGTGAGAAGCTAGGGACCCCTCAGTTACCTTCATTCCCAGACAGCAGAAGCCTAACCTCCAAGGAGGAGAGAGGATGCAGTACCTTCTGTGATACTACACCCCACTGTGCTGTAGTTGGGAATTAATGCTGATCTCAAAGGAAGGCTCCAAGGACAAACTTTCATGGTGCTAGATCCTATCAGAAACTTCAGTTTAAAAAGAACTTAAGTTTAAAAGTACTGAAGAAAATGAATACTTGGAAGGGTGAAGAAAAACCTGCTTTGGTCTTACAAAGTAGCTGATGATAAAACCAGCCTAGGATCTGCAGCTAACTTCAGAATGAAACAAGCTTCTCCCAGCCACCTGCAGAGTGTGCCATCTGAAACAGCTGTTCATCCTACAGAGGTTAATTACAATGGCAAAACAAAACCAAACACCTCACTGGATGAGTTTGCGTGCCTGATGTTAAAAGGAACGTTTATAGCTGAAAGCTATGGCTTGGCATTCTGCTTAATTACGTTGTTGAAGGATGTTTTTTATCAAGAGGGCAGAAAATAAACAGCTTAATTCCCTGACCATCCTGACTGTAAACCAAAGGTGTCACTGTATGAGTGTGATTACTCTGGCAATAGATATTAACATTGCCCTTCATAAAGAAACATCAGTCTGGTATTTATGAATACCAACCCCATTACACTTTTTTTTTTTTCTGTTTTAATGGGCTGTAGGAACCACATTATTATAAACCTTGTCTCGATTACCTATATTAAATCAACTTTGCAGCAGCCAAGCCACTACTGAAAACTAGATTTTTATTTATTTTTCTCCATCTCTCCCGACAAGGCTCTGAGTTCCACAAGCTCCAGGTGGCTAGAGACCACATCTGTTTGGCTTACCATTATGCCCTCATGCCTAACAGGACACCTGCACACAGTAGGCATTCAGGAAACGCTTATTGAATGAATGTGAGCAGTATATGACTTGTATTTACCTTCAAAGCTATACTATTTCTTAAGACTCTAGATATCAGTCTATTTAAAGCCATATTGGCCAAAAGGAATTTTAATTCAGCCAGAATAAACAAACACTAAACTAAACTAGCAAATGCAATAGGAAATGAAACCCAATTTGAAACACCAGAAGAGAAAAATGTAAAACACGTGGATGAGAAATAATGGGGCTGGGAGGTAACAGGGTCGAAGAAATAGCAGGTCTGTGGGACTATCACCTCTGAAAATCTCATTCATTATTAAAAGGACTGAATTCTGGTCTTTAAAACCAAGAGCCTGAAGAGAACTGACTGACCCATCATGAAGAGATTTGGGACTCTGGACTCCTCCGGTACTGAAATCCCACTTCCAGTCAAAAGTGTGGTCTCTCTAGACATGGGTTCAAGTCCCAGCTCTGCCCACCCACTTAGCTCTGTGTATTGACCAAGTTACTACATCTCCAACCCTCTACATTGTGTTATCGACCTTCCAGGAGTTTGTAAAGACTAAATTAGATAATAGATGTGGAAACACCTTGCACAATGCCAGTGGCAAACATTTATTATTCATTTACTAGTGCACAGACATAATATGTGCCAGCATTAAAGGTAAATCCTGGATTTAAAAGATGAATTCAAGACTGCCTCTGACCTCCAGGAGCCCACTAACCATAGCCACACCATGAGGTTCTGTTTCCTGTGCATAAAAGCACACTCCTGTCCCACTCCAGCAAGTGTGTGCTCTGGTTATGAATCAGCTTCTGTCGCCTGACCCCAGAGAAACTGAGGAAAAGCTCATGGGAACCTGTGCTGGACTTCTTTTGGTCTGGAACTGTCTCCCTGGTGCTTTTTTTCCCCAGCACCAAGCACTGACATTTGGAGAGAAAGTTTTGGATTATAAGGTGGGGGCAAACTTTCATAATGGCATCATTTATCTATTTTCTTCTTTAATCCCCTGCTTCTAACACAAGCTGCAGTTAGAATCACCTGAGGAGCTTTTAAATCATGAACTGCCCTGTCCCCAGCCCACTATCAATTGAATCAGAACCTCTGGGGAGATGGGGCCTAGGCATCTCAGTTTTAAAAGCTCCCAAGGTGATTCTAGGAAGTAGCATTATAAATCAGTAATTTAATCCACTGGGGCTCCTGTACCACAATCATTTTTTATTTAAAGAAAAAAAGAAAGAAAAGCCACAAGTCAGGAAACTCTCTAAGAGCAGCCTAAGAGAAATGATTGCCAGTATTTCCATAGAACTGTCGTTTTCAAAGGACTTTCATAAAATTTATCTCTCCAAATCCTAGCAACCTCTGAGGAAGGTAGCTCTTATCCCAATTTAGAGATGAGGTGACTGAGGCCTAGAAGGTTAAATGACTGCCCAAGGTCACAGAACTAGAAAGTGACAGAGCCTGGGCCTGACTGAATTCAGGCCCAGCTAAAACCAGATGATTCTTGTTTCTCACCACCTTACCATCCCATTGTGCCTCCCTGACTCCTGAGCACAGCCCTAGAACTGGAGCAGACACTGGAAAACACATCTTGAACTGGATGGAAAATTCATTCTCCCAAAGACAAGAGAAGCAGGGCAGTGTTGATCAAAGGCCTTGGGCTCTGAAGTCTAACAGAGGGTTCAAATCCCTGATCCCTGGTGTGACAATGGGCAATTTACTAAATATCTGACTCCTTATCTATACGGTGGTTTAATGCAGAATCTACCTCAGGGATTGTCAGGAGGATGAAATGAGATCATGCTTCTAAACATTAACAATGATTAATACTGCCTACCTAGCAGAAGAAAAGTTTGTCCACAGAGAGGCATAAACTCTGGAATGACACCATCCCACTTGCCAGAGCGGGGTGAACCTAGACAAGGAACTCAATCTCTGTGCCTCAGTTTCCTCCCCTGTGAAAGGGGGATGACAATAGTTCCTACCTAGAGACTTACTGTAAGAATTCAGTGAAAAAATAAAACAGCGAGGGTTATTAAAGTGCTAGCAACTGGCTGGCCCACAAAAAGCTCTCAAACAATGTCATCATCATTATTATGGTTACACTAAAACCTATTAACCAGGGTCTCCCCGAAGGCAGATGGGGGGGGGGGGGGGGGGGGCGGGGAACCACAGTCACCTGGCTGGAGTTTTCCATCCGTGGCTGCAGCCCCCGTCCTGATGAGGTGGGTGATCTGGAGGTAGGGCCCATTCTGGATGATGATCAGGCCTAAGCCCAGATTGCCCACAGTGAGTTTGGTCTGCTGAGTTTTGCTCAAGTTGTGTATGGATGACTTGACATTGAAGCCAACGTTTTTGCCTAATATAAAGAGGGGGACATTTTTTAGTCCTTCACCTGGACAGCAGCATGACAGTATCACTGGGGTTCTAAAGCCAGATCCCTGGGGCAGTTCCTCAACCTATTTATTTCTCAGTTTCCTCATCAGTAAAGTGAGGACAGTACGTGTCTAGCTTGGAGACTTGTTATGAGAATAAATGAGACAGAGGGCTTTGCTCAGTGCCTGGCACCTGCTGAGTGCTTAATTAATGTCAGTTATTATGTATTCACTTGACAAATGTTTCTTGATGCAGGCAGTGTGCTAAGAAATAGCAGTTTCTTGCCCTTATGGATCCTGCAGCTTAGTGGAAGAGACAGATACTAATCAGTCACATAAATAGATGTTGAATAACAAACTGTAACACATGCTATGAAGGAAAAATACAGAGAGCTCTGAGGAGGACTGCCAGGAGGCCAAGGTATCCTGCGGGGAAGGCAGTTCAGGCTTCATACAGGAGGCAAAATTTGAGTCGAGGTCAAAAAGACCAACAGGAAATCTTGAGACAAAGGAGGGTGGGAGGGAGCAAACTGGATTGAGGCTGTGAGGAAGGAACAGAGATGCACTGGAGCACTCGTGAGGAGCAAAGTCACAGCCGACTGGCGCGGCCTCACAGGCTTACCTCACTGGAAAAGCTTAGGAGCAGTTTAAGCGGGACCCTGTAACATTTGTATTTTCTTAAAACAAACAAATGAACCCGGCTGGCTGCTGTGCAGGGCACAGACTGCGGGATCCAGAGTGGATGTGGGAAATCAAAGTGTTACTGGAGTCACCCAAGCCTGCCATGGCGATGTCAGTGGAAATGGTAGCGAAAGATCATTTGGGAGGAAAATCCGGGAAAATGGGTGATGGTGGAAGGGTGCCGAAGTATATTTTCTCCAGAACTGATTCTCACAAGAAAAGTTTCAAAGACTATGGAGTGATTTAAAACAAGTTACTTTCCTAAAAGGAAGCTTCTCAGAAGACTCATTTTCAGTACACAGGAAGTTTCTGGGGACATTTGTTTTCAGCAGCTCTTCCTGAAGGACAAGTGACAGGCCTTTGCAAAATCCATGTGACTGTGGTGTTTTGGGGGGGCCCAAGAGGCCTGCTGAGGGAGGGGTGCCCCCTGTCCCCCCACCCCCAGGTTCATGACCCTTCCCTGTAAGCAAGTGTCCTTGCTGTCTCCAACCTCACCTTCCCCCAAACCACAGAGACTCTATAGAAAGTAAAGTAACCCAGTATAAAGAAGGTACCACATTCGGAGATTTTTCAGGATTCTGGGAGCCATTTGGAGCAGGTCAGACCCTCCTTCAGCCTCTAGCTCCTGAGCATACACAGAAGTGGCATCTCAGACAAGGTCTGAGTTCCAACCTCAGCTTGCTACTTCATTGTGCTTAGGATAAAATAATCTACAGGAGACCCAGTCTCAAAAGACAGCAGGGTTAAGGGAAAGAAGGCAGACTCAAAAGACTCCATACCACACGATTCCACTTTTATGACACTCTCCGTGGAAAGGGCAAAACTATAGAAACAGATCAGGAGTGTCAGGCACTGAAGTGCAGGCTGGTGGCAAAGAGGAGCAAAGTAATTCGGGGATGGGGGAGGGAGCGTGTGTGGGAGGGAAACTTCCACATCTTGATGGTGGTGGTGGTTATATGTGGGTATTCATTGGTCAAAACTCAGAGCTATACACTAAAAATGGGCGGGGGGGGGGAGGGGGAGGCTCTTACTGTATGTAAATTATAGTTTGGTAAACAAATGATGGCGAGGGGCTAACTCCCAGGCCAAGAGGGTGACGTTCCCATTTTACAGGGGAGGCAAAGTAATGAAGGCTTTGTCTCCAGGGCGTCTCCCTCTCCCCACTCCCCAGTTACCTTTTTTGCTTTTATGGGCGGCCTTCTCCATGGCCCCAGGAGGGCAGACCGCTCAGGAGGGGCCTCCTGGAGCAGAAGCTGGAGTGGGTCCAACTCCCAACTGTTTCGAACCCGCGAGGAGGGGGCGCACAGCGACCGGGGGACCCCGGGAGGCAAGGAGATTTCCGGCGCTGCCCCTCGGGATGGCCGCCAGGGGGCAGACGTGGGTCATCCGTGGGGTCACAAGGCCTCAGCGGACTTGGAAAAAGGAGTGAGTGAAAGTTTTGGCGGAGAACAAACTCGTTCAGGGAGCAGCACAGTGTCTGGCTCACAGTGGGTTCATCATCCATTCTTGGAAAACAACCGAAGTGGGGAGGATGGAGGAAGCACAGAGGCGGGTGTGGCAAAGCTGTGAAATTGTGGGGCCCAGGCAGACCCTAACTAGAAGCCCATATAAGATCACACAATCCCCTGCTGCACTCCCAGTAATGATATTTTTAAATATTGCTGCATCAATAGTCCCAACTGTTTTTGGAACTGCACTGTTTTCATCAATGTTTTGCATGAGAAGAGGGGCCAAGGGTGGCTCGGGGGAAAAAAAAAATGAGTCACGATTAGGAGAGAAATTAATTCTTCCTTCTTTTTTCCAAAATAATTCTTTCCTCCCACACACACATTCGTTCATAGGACAAATATTTACTGGAAGCCCGCTCTGTGGTTTGTGCTGATGCTGGGGACACAACAGTCGGCAAGACAAACAAGGGCCCTATCCTTTTGGAACTTAGATTTAACGAGCAGATCAAGTGGATATAATTTAAGAAAACTGTAAATTATCAAAAATATATTCTAGAAGAAACAGAAAGCAATGTGATCAGGTAGGTCCTGTCCTCATTCCCACTCCGATAAAACGGAGAAGCTATGCACCTTACATTCATGTCTTCAATAGTTATCAAGCACTTATTAGATGTCAGACACTGTGCAAAGATTTCCATGGTAAACCCAGTTTACCGGGCTGTTTCTGTGGCTCTACCCAGACCATAAACCAGGGCAGATTTTCATTCAATAAATCCCACCTTGCAGAGGCTGGGACAAAAGGAAAGAACAGTCATCCATTTTCTTACTCTCAACCTCAAGGAGTCTCCAGCAGGTGGCTTCTTGTGATCGATCACCAGTTTCCTCCTCCAAACAGTCTGGCAAGGTGTCTATGCAGACACCAAATTAACTCTGTCATAAAATGCATCCTTTTCCTCTGTTTTCCTATTAGTAGGGGGACAGTGAGAGTTTGTGGAACTAAAGCATGTCAGCATCGGAGGTTCAGGGAGGGGAGCCTATCGGCGCCTGGCACATAGGGTGTCCATCTGCCTTCCCTCCATCCCAGGCTGAAAACTCTCTTCAGGGCAGATACCAAGATCACACCAATGGGTGGAACTGCAGGATACAAACGGTTGTGGATGCCATCCTGTGCTGCCCAGATCCCCCTTCGGGACTGAAGGATTTATTCCTGCTCCTCCACCCCACCCCTGCTTCCAGCTGAGCTCCCTGCCCAAGATTACACCTTCCCAGGGCAGCTAACATCCAGTGACTGGTCACTGTGGGGTAAAAATCTGGCTCCCTCAGTCCAGCTCGAGCAACCCTGGAGGGCAATCCCAGCTCCAGAGCTCCTGTGGGGTCTACTGAGGTCCTTCTGTGGCTGCACTGCCACCTGACTTCTCCCTTTGCCTAATGCTGCTTCCCCTTCCTCCCCTCATGGGCGTGGCTTCCAAGAGCACTCCCCAATAAACTCCTTGCAGCTCAAGAGTGTTTCCTGGAAAGCCCACCCAACCTGCAGCAGCTAGCACCAGGGATGGTCTGCAAGAGTAGATGCCAAGATGGAATTTCGGAGCTGGGTGACCCCGCTGTCTAGGTGATAATGAGGACCCCATACCCAGTAGAGGAGGTGTATACATCACCTTGGGCACAGGGAAGCACTAAGATTGTTCCATTTTTCACCAGAGAAAATTGAAACAGTTTGTCACCCACATGATCCACCTGAGTATCTCTTAGTGCTCCCTTGCCCTATTTTGACAGTGAACAGACAAAAAAAGCAGCCACAGCCCGAGAAATACATGGCAACAAGTGGCTCAGACTCCTCAGGGATGGAGGTCCGAACCACCCCACCACATAAGCCACCTAGACCACCAGAGGTGCTAGCAAAAGGTGAGAGGAATCTAGGATGGGCAGGAGAGGAGGGAGGTGATGAGCATGTCGCTTATGCCTGGAGATGAGCTGCAGCAACACGGGGAGCTGGGGTTTGTCCTGCTAACCTTCCCTTCATAAGATTCCCACAGGAAAAGATGCTCACCGGGGTCCTGCTCTCAGAACTGAAAAGAAGCAGGTGGATCGGCGTGCAATGGGTGCACTGTGACAAATGTTGCCCCGTGCTACCCAGTCCTCCTGAAGACTGAAGGACTTAGTCCCCAGCTCCTGGGAAGGTTGTAGGTTCATGGATCTCAGCTGTCAGCCCTCTCAAGGAATTGTCTTTGGCTGAAGAGCAGCCATACCCAAGGTCATTCCTGAGGTAGCTCAACTCCAATGACTGGTCCATGTGGGGATATAAAGGCTTGGCCCCTTTTCCCCAACTCTGAGTGGCCACCCCAACTTCAGAGTTGCTCACGGGGTCTGCCAAAGCCTCCAATAACCGAATCACAGCCAAACTGCTCCCTCTGCCTTCCCTCCCCCCAAAGGAGTTGCTCCTTAGTGCACTCCCTAATAAAGACCGCACGCTAATCCATAATCTCTGGTTGGAGTCAGCTCCAGTGGAACCCAATCCATGAGACAAAAGGAGATTTGAGCCCAAGGCACAAACTGTTAACCTCTGGATTTAGCTCTTTGGTCTTATCTAATCCCAGAACCCCCAGGTGCATGTATATGGTGCAGCCACCAAACTCTTGGCCTTCATGGTGAACTTGACCCCCTGGGGAAGCAGTGTGTTCTTTATCCTGTCAGGCCAAAGATACTCCTTAAAGAGAAGAGTGATTATATAGTCCCCTCCACAGCTTTCACCAAGGTCCCATCTGGATTCAGCCTCTGTTGGGCCAAGGCCTACCATCCATCATGATAAAGCACACTGTGTTCACAGCCCCTTAATAGCCGCAGAATGGCTATTTATGACTTAAGGCTGCCAGCATAGATCCCTTCCGGGGGCCTTCTGGGTCCCCAAGGATTTTCTGCCTTAAGGATCCCTGTGGCTCATCTCTCTGAATGAAATAGCCCCAGCTGCTTTGCTTAAGGGAGAGTGAGGAGATGGGGAGCTTCTCCCACTGAAGCAGAATGTCTGACTTTCCCAAGTTCAAGTCAGTAGAAGGGAGGGGACTAGAATATAGTTCTGTATCCTTTTTGCTCCACCACACCACCTCTCATGAACCCTAGGGTTTGCCTCTACTAAAATCTAGACTGGGGGTGGGGGTGGGGGCTCAGTCAGTTAAGCATCTGACTTTGGCTCAGGTCATGATCTCATGGTTTGTGAATTTGAGCCCTGCAATGGGCTCTCTGCTGTCAGCACAGAGCCCACTTCGGATCCTCAGCCTCCCTCTCTCTCTGCCCCTACCACATTCATGTATGCATGTGTTCGCTCTCTCTCTCTCTCCTAAAAACAAATAAAAACATGTAATAAAAAATAAAATAAAATGTAGACTGGGATATAGAGGAGAAGGGAACTGATCTGTCCTGTAGATCTCGGACAGATCCAGGACTCTGCAATACCAGGTATGTTGGAAGTAGAGAATGAGATATGGGACTAAAATCAGGATTAATGGAAAATATGTAATCAGAGTATTTAGTCCCTGCCCACCCCTCCCACCCCCATGCTGGGTGGTAAAGAAGGAATGGGAAGGTGACTTTCTGAAGTGACTTGTGGCCATTAATCTGGTGAAAATTTTCTCAATTTTTTTTTAACTCCAAATTGGTTTTTTTCCCCCTTAAATTTAAATATAGTTGACATATTAGTTTTGGGTGCACAATATAGCGATTCGATATTCATAGATGTCATGAAATGATCACCACAATAAGTCTAGTTCCCATTATACAGCTTGTTTTTATCCTTTAATCTTAGATCCAGAACCTTTTGTAGAGGGGCAGAGGTAGGAGGGACTGGGAAGTGCTGCCCAGGTAGAAGGGAATTTACACTCGTATTTTTTAAACGTAATGATCAAGTGATCACCATACCACTCACAGGCAAACTGTTCCAACAGTTCACCTCAGGATTCTCATCAATGCCTAGTAGTGAACATCAGCGGACATTATTTGAGAATTCAGAACTATAAAGCTGGGAGTTTCTTCTATGCCTGGGCAATAGAAACTCTGGACGAGAAGCCAAGAATATGACTCCATCAAACTTCTCCAGTACTTTAAAAAAAAAAAAAAAAGAAGTGAAACCCTGCTGCAGTAATGTGATATGCATATGAGTCCCTGGAATATATCAATCAGCTTGTGCCTATTTCTGTGGCAGAGGAAAACTAAACGGTGTCATAATAATTAAAAAAAAAATCCTTCCCCCCAGGAGACCAATGTTTGGACAGGAAAGTCTATAGACTAGCAATTAAATCCCTCCTTACCCAATCTATGTGGTGACACTGATAACTCTGCAAGTTTCTGCAAGGTTGTTGGATTTGGTGGAATTTGAAACTTGCTGAGTTTTGGGAACATGTAGGCATTCCCAAAATAGAGACAGATGTCAACCTTCTAGGTCTTTCTTGAGATGACCTCTGTGGCATTTAAGGAGAAGATGACTGTCCCATCTCTTGTTTGCTGCGTGGGGGACTATCCAGGAAAGAAAGAGCTGGATCCAAAGTTAAGGTTAATGGTGACTTGGTCCAAGAGTCAGTCACAAAAGAAAAAGCAACCTCCACTAGATAGTAAAATTATAGATGGAGAAATCATCTGTATTGCCAACAAACTACGCCAATGTCTTGTTTGTTTCTGTTTATCCATCCAAACTAAGCTTCTCCTCAGGCCTCAACTCAGTAAAAACTATCACCAAACACCTGGTTACTCAGGCCAAAACCTTAAGAGTCA